AAAACAAAACAAAAAAAAAACCAAAACCCTTCCCCTGAACAACTATTTGATTTTCTGAAATACAGCTCAGCAGGAAAGGCAAGGTGAGTAATAATACTTTTCCTTTCTTTTCTTTTCGGTAGAATAAGGAGATAGTGCCCTAGTTGCTTGCAAAAGTGTGCAATCAGTTGTTCTGTTTTTGTTGTCGTTGTTGTTGTTGTTGTTCTTGTGTTTGGCTTCTCATCTTTGGAGTATCATTAAGTGCTTATCGATTTTTATATATGCAATATGTTTAAAACAATTACATGCATTATTTTTGTTGGTGCTCAAATTGTCCATTTTTGGACAAAGGGATTCTGTAGTTTTGGTGTCTGTGACCTTTTGACACCCTTATTTGTTGTAAATGAATTCATTGTCTTCGTGGCACAAGATATTCCACACTTATCATCTAGATATCCTGCCCCAGACCTGAAATTAGACATTCCTCTGGGGAGGTGGTTTCTTTTTCTTTAGTTTCTTTTAGTTGGAAATTATATCTAAAAACCCCAAATGAGTGAATTACATTATTTTATTTGTACTAAAAATGAAAGCTTATCTATCTAAAATTTTATGTTAAGGCAGTAGTTTTAGAACCTGCTATTTATTTAGGTAATAAGTAAAACTGTAATTGCTTGTCTTATTTTTATTGTAATCTCACTTTAAAATTATTTATATAAAAGGAAATGCACACTTTTCATTATAAGTACACCTAAACTTCAATTAGTGACTGTACAACACTGTTTCACTTTTCCAGGTGGCATAATTTATATTCACAATTTCCCAGAAAGTTTGAAATGACAGATATAAATGGAATCTCAAATGTTTTCATATGTATTCAAATAAGAATATCAATTTCGTCGGAGTTGGTATAGTAAAAGCTTTGAAAACACTTTTAGAAATGTGACGGTTTGATGTGAGCTGTCAAATTTGAGTTTTAGCTTGGAATAAGTGAAGGGCTATAATTTCAAGTGTTAACAGAGTCTGGTGTGGGAAATGCAGGATATTGAAATAAATAAATGCAATAATGCTATTTGGCATCAACTCAAAGTGAGATCAGAGGACACTTGGGATTACTGAGACCCTTTTTAGAGGCTTGCAAGGTCTTCCCTTTTTCAGCTATGAATTTGAGCAAGTGCTGCTTTTCTTCATACTATCTTAGCTGTAACAACGTATCACAACAGACTGACTGCAGAAGCAGATATGGAAATTCACTTGTTTCTCTTAACACTGATGGTAAAGAGATTTGCAAAAAATGTAAAATCCATTTTTTCTAAGTTTTAAAAAATGGAGTCATTATTTTAAAAATGCTCATTATAGTAACATGTGGTGAGTTTATTATTTAAAAAATGAATTAAGCAAATATTTAAACATTTTCTGTCTTAATTTTTAATACAGTATATATAGACATATATATCCCATACAAACAAAAGCTCTTTAAAGTTCTTGTTAAGAATGTAAAGAGATCTTGAGACCAGAAAGTTCGAAAACCTCTTTGATATCTCACACTATTTGCTTACTAATTGTAAGTCTGTATGAATATAAATTGATTCGAATATAAATATATTCATAGAATTTGTAAATTTAATTATTTTGGGTTAACCTTACTTAGATACTTCCTTGAATATTAGACATGTCTAACCATAACTTAATTTTGTACCTTAGTTAGGAATGCATGTATGGTTTATTTTCTCTCTGATGACACTAATGCCACATGGAGGCTTGTTCTAATATAAGAAGATAAGAAGACAAATCATTATATTTCAACCACACACATAAAGCCAAATATTCAGTTTAGAATTTAATTGATGGATTTAAAGAAAATGGGGTGTTCGTTTTTAATAGACTACTTTTTGTGTAGTTTCACAGAAAAATTAAGCAGGAGGTATAAAGAGTTCTAATATCTCCCCTGACCCCACATTTACACAGCTTTCTCAACTATCAATATTCCAGCAATAAAGTGATACATTTGTTACAACTGATGAACCTACATTGACACATTATTGTTACCTGGAGTGATGGTTTCCATGTGTCACCCAGATAGTATCAAAGAGAGTATTTTCACTGACCTAAAAATCCTATGTGCTCTGCCTATTCCTCCCCTGCCCTCTTGCCCCTCAACCCTTGGCAACCACAGATCTTTTTATTGTCTCCATAGTTTTACCTTTTCCATAGTGGCCTATAGTTGGCATCATATGCTATACTACACAGCCTTTCCAGATGACCTCAGGTTCTTAAGCACATTTGATGAATCTTAGTGACAAAGTCTGGTCATACTTAGCAACACTTTTTGTATGTTAATTAATTTGCATTATAATAAAAATCACACATTCCTGTCTCCATTGTTTATTCATTTACATCCAATTCAGACTGTCAGCTCTTAATGGCCAAGAACTCCCTCTATTTAATTTGATTAATCATCCAAATTGATTTTTAATTATTAGTGCTGCTAACCTAAAAAATAAAACAGTTACATTGTCAGAAAAATGGTTTATTCAGGAATAGCAGAGAATTGCAATTTGGGATATGCAAGCTATAGCAAAAAACACAGGCAAATGCAACAAAGGAGAGGATTGTTATTTTATGATGAAGGAGGAGTCAGAAGGGTTGTTTTGAATGTAAGTCCACTGGAGAAAAGCAAGAGTTCAGGATGATAATGGTTTCTTATTGGCTGGGTTGCAAAGGTAGCCTATTTGTGGTAGGAAATGCAATGTACAACTTTCTCTGTTAAGGACTGTCCTTGATGATTCTTTCCTGTGGAGGATTGCTCTGTTGGGGTCTGTAACTGACGTGGTGTGGGTGGTACAGCTGCAGCCTCCCAACTCCACTTTAGTGAGGTTTCCCTTTGTTGGTTTTCACAATGCCAATAGGACCTAGTCCAATTTATAAATAGGTTCTCACTGCTATTTGATAAAGGTGGGACTCCCATGCAGTTAAGTGCTCATGGAATTAAATCCTTAAGCATTGGCAGAGAAAAGCTTGCCCTACAGTAATTATTTCAGTGATGAATGAGAAAAACTACAGAGTTGGCACATACCCTCTTTGCAGGAAAGCAATGTTATTCTCAGGAGACTCTAGGAGTTTTAGTTATCAGGTGGTTTGAGTCTCTGAGTAGGTTGTTAAACCTTTAGAATTAATTTTAAGCTAGAGTCCCAGAGCATCTGGTACTAACATTTATATTAAATGATTTGAAAATGCACAGAGTAGTTTGTCAGCATTCGGAAGAATGAAAAATACAACAATAATAAGGCATATAATTGGGGGAGGGATAAAAGAGAGAATAAGTGTTTTATATCTGTTTGGTAGCTCTAGGTTCCACTTTCTTTGTGGGTTGTCATAACCCTGTAAGTTGAAGACAAACGCTTAGGAATGAAATTCCAGCTTTCCCAAAGTAAACCACCTGTTTTGGATTATTCCTTTTGGCTTGCCTAGAAATAGTTTCCCTGTGCGCGCTTTAGTAGAAAAAACGCAATAACGGGAGTCCAGAGGGGGAGCACTCAAAAGGCTCTTTGCCACTGTAGCTGTGCACTCCAAGCCGCTGCTGGGGGTCTCCGTTTCCTGACCTATTTGAAAGGGGGGGGGTGCTGAAGACACAGTTTCATAGAGTTTCAGCTCTCTGTCGTCCTCTCTGCCGTTAGTACGGTGCAGAACTTCGAGTAAGTGCTCAGTTATTGCTTGCTGAATGAGTGTTATTTTTTAATCCGTTGCAAATCCATACCGGGATTTGGGCCTAACCCAGGCTGGCGCGGCCGGGGGGCGGTGGGAGGGGGAGGAGGCGGCACCGG